CCCATGGAGAGATACATACAAAGCTGCGTTTCACATTTTGTGTTTTGCCGTTTTTATGGGCGTTTTTTACCACTACCTCACCTCCTGTGGATGGATCTTCACCAAATTTGGTACGGAGGTTCATTGGGCCCATGGAGAGATACATACAAAGCTGCGTTTCACATTTTGTGTTTTGCCGTTTTTATGGGCGTTTTTTACCACTACCTCACCTCCTGTGGATGGATCTTCACCAAATTTGGTACGGAGGTTCATTGGGCCCATGGAGAGATACATACAAAGTTGCGTTTCACATTTTGTGTTTTGCCGTTTTTATGCTAGTTTAACAATAATCTTTTGTTTTTTGACGAAAGGGTGCTAAGAGACGAAGAAAAAAGGCCATTTGTAGAAGAAGCCGAACGACTGAGAATCATCCACAAGAAAGAACATCCAGACTACAAATACCAACCCAGGCGACGAAAACCCATGAAAGGCATTCATGTGAACAACCCTACAGTAGAGAATGTAGTTGGAATGCAGGGCGCCACAGTCATGTTCAGGTATACAAAATTTCACTTGTCAATAATCAATAAATAATTACGTTGTTTCTCTGTCAATAAGTTTGTTTGTTTGTTGTTATGCACAAAGCTACACAATGGGCTATCTGTGCTTTGCCCACCACGGGTATCGAAACCCGGTTTCTAGCGCTGTAAGTCCGCAGACATACCGCTGTGCCACTGGAGGGCCTGTCAATAAGTACAAAGCTATCTGTGCTTTGCCCACTGCGGATATCGAAACCCGAATTTCAGCATTGTAAGCCATGAGTATGTTATTTCAATCTTTCGCTAAAAAACAAAAAAAAACAACGTTATCCGGAGATAAATTTCACTTTTAACTTTCATTTGAGAAACAACGTTTCCTTGGAAATATAAAGTGGGCGTAATATTATACTGAAGCACAAAGATTTAAATCAGATTATTTATGTTTAACGTGATTTTCTACGACTAATGAATTATTAATTTAAGTGGAAAATTGAACTAAGCTGAATATGAATCTCATCCAAAATATATGTATTTCAGGCACAGCATAAGAATGTTAAAGTTAAGAATTGAACACATTAATACTAATTTAGAATTTCACGGATTTGTAGTCAGCTAATATACATAGTAATATAAAAACATTAACGAAATCCATTAACTGAATACGGTAATGCGGTTCTAAAATTAGATTGGTTTTGTTATCAGCCAATAGAAATACAAAGAAAGAACAGCAACGTTTTCTAGAACACGAATCAGCTAATTGGTGAAATTTATGAGAATTAAGATGTATTTAAATGCGTAATATTTCGCTATAATTTCTTTTACTAAGCTGAATAAATATAAAACCTAATTTTGAAAAACAATATCTTTTTTAACTCTAAATGTTTTATTCTGAATATGTAATACATACTGTAAAAGGTTTTTACAGTTTCGGATGCTTATCTATCTATACACATGTAAATCATTCCAATTTTTTTTCACGAATCCCATTTTTCATCACTCCCACGCTTGATTTGTGGCATGCCTATATAAATGTTGTTTGGTATAATGGTTATAATACTTTGTGCCCCTGCTAGATAATAGCATTTATAATACTAACAGAAATACCCGCCCTCCGGACAGGCACAACTGCTAGTTCCTGCGGAAGGTTACTGGGCCTGCAGCCTTTTCTGAAATTGTCTGACAGTTCTACAATAATGTTCTCATCCTTGACATTCAATAATATTCACCATCCATCAGAAATAGGATTTTTATTGAAATTTTAGTTTAAAAATGAGCTATCATCACAGCATTACTTCACAGGGCAGATTTTATTGAAGTATTTCTTTGTAGAAGCAGTTATTAATGAAAGTGCCTTGCTTTTCTGTTGCAACACTAGTGAGATTTTCACTAAAGAAAAACAAATAATTTTTTTAATTTTGTTTTTGATTGTTATATTTGAAACTTACTCCTTTTGTTTGTAATTTTTATTTGTTAAGCCTGAAACATATCATTTTTGTGGAAATTTCAATTGTTTTATTTATTGCTCAGCTATAAAAATACTGCCTAGTTATAAAAATATTACCCAGTTATGTGAATAAATGCAACACGTAGAACAAACAATAGTTCAAAGCTGTTGGATATCAAAACTACATGGGTCATCATTCTTTCACACATATTTTGTAATTAGAATAGATGAGCCCAAAATTTTTCCAGTGGCGTAGAAAGCCCCCTTCCCTTCCCCCACGCTTTTCCATATGTGCCAGTAAAAACGCATCAAAAGTAGGAAAACTGCTCTCAGGAAAAGCAGGAGAATACATGTCATATAATCCAGATCCAAAGAGCTTCCAAGGTCCTAAGGCGAGCCTTGGACCACGGTCGTAATGGGTGCGTCTGTGGCGCACGTACATTCCCTCGCTTCGCTCGGTCAAGTAAACTTTGCCCCCCTCACTTCCCCACTTTAATTTGCCACCTACATCTCTGTTTTGATCGTTTGTTTGTTGTTAAGCACAAAGCTACACAATGGGCTGTCTGTGCTGTGCCCAGCATGAGTATCGAAAACAGTTTTTAAAAGTTATAAACACGCAGGCTTGCCGCTGACCCACAGGGGAGCGAACCAAATATACCAATTAAGTCAATATTGATATATTGATTTGTGTTACATTAACAAAACATAAGCTGTAGTTGTGTGTGGACCTTTTAAAGTAGTTCTTAGAATAACGTGAGTGTTTTTCTCTACATATCATATTATGTTCCAATGATAAAACTACCAGCATAATGACAAAACACTTTCGCCCAGATTTGAAAACATAATGCAGTAAAAAAGACTACGTACGAAATATTGTGGAGTTAAAAAAAACGTCAAAAAATCATGTCTTTTATCGCTGGAAATCGGAACTAATATTGTTACACACTATTAGGGGAAATTAAACAAGAAATTTGTAAATTGTTGCTCTTTTCAAGATTCTTGTAAACAATGTATAAGAAATATAGGAAAAATGAAACATAAGAAAATTATATTATGAAGCTTTGAAATTCACGTGTAAAGGCATCTTAGATCAATACTTGAAATAGATCATGTTTTAAACATTCAACTCGAGGTGTTCGCTATAAACATAAACCATACCTTTCTTTCATTTGCGGCCAGCTAGGGGGCGCCGGATGTGTGACCCAGTAAAGTCATGGCTAAAAAAAAAAAATTATATGAAAAGCAGAAACAAAAACGACATCCGCGACTGAAACAGACCAGGCACGAGCGCAAAACGTCACACATCTGTAAGACTAAACTTCACCATATTCCAAGCCCAAAGGTCAGGCACCAGAGGGTGCTAGGATTTAGTTTGTCTTTTAATGAAAACACATCCTGGTGCTTCTTTGCTAACCAAGGATACACGTGCGGTATCCTGTTAAATTTCTAGTTATTCAAGACCAACTTTGTATCTCTTGTCATTTAACACCTACCTTCTACTATTCCATAGTTCGGTCATCATCATCATATATATATATATATATATATATAGGTTAATCCTGTGTAAGTTGCGAAACTTAGCACTCACGGTATGCTACCATTATCTTGGTTAGTGGATTATGTTTTCTTTTTCTTAACTTGTTTCGTTATACAACGTGAAAGTTTTTACTGGAAGAATTGGTAAAACAAATCGTGAAAGTAATATTGTATTCCTGAAGTACTTGCTTCAGAGTTGAAAATTGTTCGTTTGGTTGAATTTCACGCTAAGTTATACCAGCGCTATCTGTCCCTAACTTTGAAACGATAGAATAAAGAGAGGGAAGGCAAGCTAGTCAACACCATCCACCACCAGTTCTTGTAGTAGTCTCATCTGACAGAATATTGGGGTTTGACCGTCGCTCTTATAACGCACCCATGGTTCTACAATGTGGAGTACGTCTGCGGCAACAGGACGCGAGCCTTGAATCCTTGGGTTCACAGTCAAGATATACTACCCGCTAATGTACTTAAGAGATATCGTTCGTTAAACAAGTCTCTTTGTTTCTGCTATCCAACAGAAGTGCTATTTATTCTATATTGTTAACATTTATGACTGTCATGCGTTATTAACCACGCATTTTTGTTTCTCCATCGTTACGACTTTACGTTAGCTTTCTCAAATACTTTAGACTAGCTTTGAAAACTAACTGTTAAGCAGGCCCACAATAGATAGACAATAGCCAACAAGATAAAGTTGAACAATTGTACACGATACCATTCTCCTAGGTCCCGAAGGCCTGTTGAAATATAGTAACTTACTTCGTGACTCTTAGTTGAACAATTGTACACGATACCATTCTCCTAGGTCCCGAAGGCCTGTTGAAATATAGTAACTTACTTCGTGACTCTTAGTTGAACAATTGTACACGATACCATTCTCCTAGGTCCCGAAGGCCTGTTGAAATATAGTAACTTACTTCGTGACTCTTAGTTTTATTGGGTAGCTATTATTAACGCAATTCACTCGTTACTCTTACACACAAAACAAATACTGTCAGCTACCCTCTAGAGACACAGTGGTAAGTCTGAATGCTTATAACATTAAAAACCAGGTTTCGATACTCGTGGTGGGCACAGCACAGACAGCCCATTGTGTAGCTTTGTGCTTAATTGCAAACAAAAACTCTCAGCATTAGAATACTACGTGAGGTACAAAAGGTAATAGCTCAGCTTGTAAGAAGTCAGTTTAAAAGCACCAGATTCTGATAATATTTTATACATCTAACTGCCGCAAATGAACCGAATGTTTTTTAGTGTCTTTGAATTTCACTTCTGACGATACCTCATTAATGTTATAACTGATGAATTTACCTCAGAGTGATAGATAGATATATGCAGTTTGTTTATTTTTCACAAACCACAATAAAATTTAAAAGCATTTTTCTTGCCAAAACATAAACCATACTTATGAAAATGCAGGAAAAATACATTAGTTTCGACGCTATAGTTAGGTTGGGATTTATTCCACGGATTCAAAATTTAGACATACAGAAAACTAACAATGTTTGGTCATTTAAATGAATTTAAAAAAATTGGAAATATTCAAGTTAAACCGTAAACCTCGTACTCCATAACTTCAGAAATTTTGTTTTTATGGTTGATTTATTAAATATCCTTGACCTAAATTTTGCTTCCGGTGCGGATTTTATTACGGTCAGTGGATAAGGTTCGAGGTTACGATGCACAGAAATATGTTTCTTTTATAATTTTTGTTTGTTTTTACTAGGATTTTACATCGATGCAAGACGTATTCCCTAATGTATTCCGATGCTTGCAATGTTTAGCAATCGAGCAGAAATAACAAGTAAAATAGTACAGTCATTCATAGTTTGGGAAGTAACTCAGACTTAAATGTATCGGATCGCATTAATTTGTGTACTTAACGTTGTGAATAGGTCACTAAAGTCAGAGAAAGAGAGCCCCACTGGTGGTCAGAGTCCTGTAGCTCCTAGTCCTCAACAAACCCCCTCACCGTCATCCACTCAGGGACCACCAACTCCCCCAACAACTCCAAATCAAAGAGAATCTGCTGTGGGAGGAAGACGGGTGATCGACAGTCGGCGACGTGTTCACCTTCCCAAACAAGGTAAATCTCTATCAATGTGATTTTATCCCGTTGATGATGTGGTTGCTGATTCGCCAGTTCTTCGCAATTATAATAAAGTTAATTCAAATAAAATATTGATAATATATAATCGGTGTTTGAAATATGCAAACAAAAAATACTTGCCCTAATTCTCAGTTGTAAGTGACTAAAAATATAAATTTTAATAATTACAATTTATTTACTTAATCTAGCTCACAGTACAACAGTTATTCATGAAATTGATAATATATCTATAGCGCCTAGACCATTACTACGTCTGTTGTATCCCACTCCTGGTATTGGACGAAAGGCCTCGTCGGCACTGGATATGTAGTGTGGTTGACATATTCTTCACTCACAAGTTTGTAGAATTTCTAAGCAGTAAAGTTATATCTAATTCTTTCAACTTCAATAGTTTTTGTTTCTGTTTACGAACACATACCCAGATAATGATACAGTAGTAATAATTAAGTGATTCCAACCCGTGAAGTCCCATTATGTAGCTTCTTCAACTAATTGGGCTTTTTCAATCGATCAACAAAACTAATACTTATAAATTACAAACACTTTGTAAGTAAAGGTTAGCAAACATATAACTTGGAAATGTAGACATATATCTGCATACGTCTGTATTTCTAAAGTAAAAAATTACCTGTAGCTGAAAGATTTATTTTGTACCTAACAGTGAATCTTTATTCAAATTATAGTTAAAGCTACAATGATTTGGAAAACGTTCTGTGTCGTTGGAATCAAATTTGGGTCAATCATAATATTCGAGTATGATAGATGCCTTTTTTTTTCTTTTCAGGTGAACAAGAAGGGCAGCCGATTGATTTCAGTCATGTAGACGTTGGTCAGCTTTCAACTGAGGCCATCGGTAATTTTGATGAGTCCGAACTTGATCAGTATCTGCCTCTTCAAAATTGTACTTTTCCTTCCTTCAGAAGCACACTCGCTAATCAAAATACACAAACGCCAGAGAGTTCGATAAATACTTACAGTTCTAACTGGGTCCCCAAATCCTTGCCGTCCATAACAACCACGTCTTCTTCGATAGAAACGGGATCCTATAGAGCTCAGTGTCTCATCCCACCAAACGGTTCAGGTCAGCAAACATTGGATCAAGTGCCCGCCCGTCTGTCCACTGGTGCTTGTCCAAAAGTAGGTGTTGTGACTCCACTCCCAGCCTGTAACACCATAACGAGCCGCCATTCCACCAGCCCGTTGGCACGCTACTCTTGTTCGGACAGTAACAGTAATAGTAGTAGTGGTGGCCAAGAAGATTCTGTCAAGTTCCAAGAACTCACACCGGTTGTGAAACCACGTGGTCGAACCTCCACTTCTGTTCTCATGGGAAATGCTGTTGATCTCCAGAACATGAATACTCATTGCAACTTCGCAGACGACACTCCTTTCAATACATCTCCAATTGGTTACGGCAGTCTTCCACCACTAGCTCCTATCAACACATCTCTATACGGTTACTACGGCAACCAAGAAGGCTCTGTGATGTCAGCGTACCAGTATCCTTCTTCGTCTGGTCCAAAATCCATTTACAGAGGAATGGGTATCTACGAGGAAGTGTGGTCATCATACGCTTAACTGAGGAATCATCTTCAGCTTTCCAAGATGTTCCACTGACTTTGCTGCCAAAGATAAATTTCTCCTCCCTTTTTTTTGTTTAGTTTTATTGATAAGCCACATAAATAGATCAACTAAACAATACCTAATTTTTAAGTAATCTTATTAATAAAAGTGATGGCTGGGGCGAATTAGTGTTGAACAAATACATGTGGTATAATACGCCCGAATTACTATTTTTATACTGGGTTAGATTTGTTCTAAGTTGTGTGTATAATTAGATGTAAGTGCCTTAAACAGGATGGCAACATTGAAGTGGGTATCATTAGTGTTATGATTTGTGCAATAACATTTTGTACGTTAAAAAGAAAATTTTATATTTTGAAATAGTGCAATTTTTTTTTTTATCTTTTTGTCGGTAGCCGATTTCCAATTTATAGAAGGAGAGCAAAATACTTTTATCCGAGGTTTCACTTACATCGAATTTTTTTTGTACAAACCAGAATTTACGTAAATGTCTATTGATGTGGAAAGCGTAATTTTAACGCGCTAAAGTTTTCCTGTGTTTTTTTTCTTTGTTTTTACGGAAACAGTTCATTGGCAAATAAGAAGTGTTAAACGTAATCAAACCTATGAACTCTGATCTCGTAATTTACAACTGTTTATAACTATTTATGGATGTTAGTGAGATAAAAAGTACCTGAACGTATTTTGAATGAGGTATAGAAGCATAGGGGGTAGGGTTGTAAGCCTTATTATTTTTATGTTTAAGCTCCTCTGTAGGACTTGCAATAAGTATATCACTTCGGATACAAATTTTCTAAAGTTTTACTATACAAATCGTTTTTTATCATTCGTGTTCTACATTTAAAAAAATAGTTGGAGAGACTCCTACTTCCTATTAAAAAGTTCTACGCTTAAACTTTATAACATAATTAATAATATATAGAGAGAGATATATATAGATATGATAGTTTCTGCCTTTTTTTCTTTGTTTTGGTATAAACTAATACATTGAATTCCTTATTAATAACTATAGAAACAGACATCAATAAGTATATATTCATATGGCAAATACAATTGTTAAGCTACTCATATAGTTAGCAGAATTACTAATTTCTTTGTAATATGCACTTTTTATGAAATTATTATTATTATTACAAGAAACCGAGAATTTGTTGAACTGTTTGTATATATGGCATTAATAATGTTGTCTTTATATTTTCCAGTATATTTTTTTTTCATGCTATATATTTGATTGAAATCAAAGTCTAAGTGTGGATTGTATCATGATTTTGAGAGTATTTTCAGTGTAACATGAAACATTTGTATTAACTTTAGGCGTTACTCAAAAATTAGTTGTGTATTACATGTCGCATGCTACTTGAATTGTTGTCTTTTGCAGATAGGTGAGATGTATATATGATGAAGTATTGTTGAAATTCAAAAATACAGTGCTGTGTAGCTGTAGCAGTAATTAAAAAAAATCATTAAATATAAATATGTAATTCAGTGTTAGTCACGTATTTTTGTGGGAAGGAGGAAATTTAGGTTGAACCATTTGATGTTCGAAACCCGTTTGGTTTGATAGTTAGAAAATTCGAAACTTTTTCCCGTACAAAACCAAACATTTTTATCTAGGTTTCTATCATTCAGTTTCCAGAGAAAGTGAAATGGAAACCCTGTATCATTTAGTTCAAAACAAGTCTAATTAACTAAAGAGTCCATAAATTGCGATCGTTTATCTTCACTCTGTGTTTTGTAACTGTTCGTACGTCTGTTTAAAGTCTAGATAAAGAGAAGTTCTTATTAGACTTTTATAATTTTTTTTATCTTCAAATAAAACATTTGGTGATATCCAATGCTGGCACATTGGATTTATAAAGAGGTGGGGGTACGTGTTTGCTGTTTGATTCCGAATAATTTTCCTGCCATTCTGGTAAATCATAATTATGTTTGATATGAATGAAAATCCACCCACACCCTCCCTCTATTTGTGGTAAATACGTTCATTTTTTTACCCCATACTCATGGGAAAAGATCAAAGACAAATAAATAAAATTGTCCTTAAACATTTTTTAGAATATATTTCTTTAAATTAGTTCCGATTTTCTCTGTCAATTGAGACTGTAGATTGTATTATTTAAATGTCAAGGTTATGACTTCTAAATATATGCCGGAAAATAGGAGCAGAAAATTAACCTTCTTGCGTTTTTTAAATCAATTTAAGGTCTTGCATTGATACGCTGGAGTAGAATAGCATTTTTTAAAGTAGTGATAAGATCTAAGCACAATTCTGAGTCTCGGCCTTTATAAATATAGGACAAACCAACATGATTTACTATTAATTCGTTATTATTTTTGCATTTTTAACGAAACCGCATTGAATTTCAAATATTTCCGATAGATGGCCACTTCGAACAGAATAAGCACATTTAATTTCAATGGCTACAAATTTCTATCTTTAATTACTCATACGTCTTCCATTGATTTTTTTTTTTAATCTAGATCAGAAGTTCAGTTTTTGTGGTTATTATTAGCAAGAGTTTTAAGAAACATGAAAATATTCAATGTGCATTACACGTGAATCTAAGTTGCCATAATACATCACACACTGATTTTTTTTTATAGTTCTTATACAAAGTAGTGGTTAATATGCCAGGCTGCGGGTCCAAAGTTCGAGACCGCGATATGCCGCTGAACAGGCTGCATACTTTCAGCCGTGAGTGTATTATGAACTTGATAGTTACCGTCTGAATATTGAAGTCTTTAGTCTAGCCGTTTAGCTCATGTGTCGCTTGAAGTGCCGTTTAATTCACGTGTCGCATGAGGTGCCGTTTAGCTCACGTGTCGCATAATGTACCGTTTAGCTCACGTGTCGCACAACATACCGTTTAGCTCACGTGTCGCATGAAGTGCCGTTTAACTCAAGTGTCGCATGAGGTGCCGTTTAGCTCACGTGTCGCATAACGTACCGTTTAGCTCACTTGTCGCATGAAGTGCCATTTAGCTCACGTGTCGCATGAAGTGCCGTTCAAGCCGAAAATACCAAACATTTTAATGAAACTCTAATTAGAGTTACTGGGTACTTTAGTAAGATCAGGTGTTTAGAACGATTCAGTGAAGACGTTATAGCGTTAACTAGGTTTCATTTGCTGGCTGCTGTTAACTTTTGTTATGTGGCATTATAGATATTAGAGATGATCAGTCTATCAAACTACTAAACATGTAGTGTCAAAACTGTAAATAAAGTTTTTGAAAATGTACAGATTCGCTCTGTTTATTGTGACTGAAACCGAACTATTTTCATTTAGTAAAAAACAGAAATACATAATGATTTCAACAAGCTCGAGCCAGTATAAAATACAAATTTCTAAGAATTTTACCAGAGCAACTACAACACATAATGACTTATAATACTACCAGCACAAATAATTACTCATACTGTTTCCCAGTCTCATCGGGTTTTTACTTTTTACCCTGTACAGTAAGTTATTTGCATTTTATTGTAAGTTTGAGAATGGAAACAGTCTCATTTTTTAGAATCGTGTAAAAACTAATCGCTGTTTTTATAAAATGTAAGTTAACATCGAACATTATTACGTGGTCCTACAGAATAGGTTTTGGGTATTAAATGTGATACCACATAACTCGTATTAACTGTTGTCTGCATGATGTTTGAACACTTTCTAACACGATTTCAGCAGATCCAGAAGGCCTGCTGGACTGTGGAGAGACGAGAACAAGTAATGACATTTCCAAGCAAGGTTGTTATCTGCTTAAATTACAAATAGACTAAGCAGATGAGACTGTACAGGTATAAACAAAATGCTTAAAATACTGAAATGCCCAATTCGTCCGCATATATTATGGAAAATAACCGAAACGTCACCCACACCACATACCGACAAAAGTTTCTTTATGGCCTGAGGTATTCGTTTCAGTCGAAACGGAAATGTGTAAAGTCAACGAGTTCCAGCAGACTGAAGTCACGTGATTAATTAATTTACAATGACTGGCGTAATAGAGAAAACGGAAAAACCTCACAAAATCACCAACGACTGAAATGAATACCTCAGGCCATAAAGAAACTTTTGTCGGTATGTGGTGGAAGGAAATGTGTAAAGCCAACGAGTTCCAGCAGACTGAAGTCACGTGATTAATTAATTTACAATGACTGGCGTAATAGAGAAAACAGAAAAACCTCACAAAACTTTCCTATATATATTCTTCTACTCTGAGTTTCTGGGGGTAAAAAAAAAAGTTTAAATGCGGAAATTATTAAAAAGCTTCTCATCTAAAGTAAACTAACTATATAATCGATTAGAACTAAAAGTAGCTCATAAATGATTGAAGTTAATTCATCACAGGAAACTGTCAAGAATACATAAAACCCATAATGAAGTTCAAGGATAATGTGACGGGCAATATACGTAAACGTTTGTTTGTTTGTTTGTTTTTTAATTTCGCGCAAAGCTACACGAGGGCTATCTGCGCTAGCCGTCCCTAATTTAGCAGTGTAAGACTAGAGGGAAGGCAGCTAGTCATCACCACCCACCGCCAACTCTTGGGCTACTCTTTTACCAACGAATAATGGGATTGACCGTCACATTATACCGCCCCCACGGCTGAAAGGGCAACAAAAGAGAGAGGAAGGGATTGAGGAAGGCAG